TTGAAGGCCTGGGGACCACACCTCCACACTAGGTTTAGGGTCTGGTCCTTGAACGAAGTCAGATTTCTCTTAAGTTTTGGGACAATGAGTTTGTCAGAGTGAAAAGAGAGACTTTGGGCTCAGCTAAGTATTTGCTAAACCACTGGGTTCCTCACCTCTGCCAAGCACCTCACTTCATGGAGTAGGAGATTATGGGTGCTGAGGTTCTCATGGGTTTGAGAGGCTCTGTTAGTCTCTAGCACCTGACAGTTAGGCTGTTGCTGTTTGGAGGCTGCAGCGTTCCCCACTACAAGTCAATTACTTCTTTGTTGTCTTACAATGACATCATGCCACCTGGAAGATTTGAAAGGTGAAGGAGAGTATTCCTGGGTGATAATGACTGTCAAGCAGCACACAAAATCTAAAGAAATAGTCAACGCATTTGCTTTTAAAAAGTAGATTTTTATGGCCTGAACCGTTTGTCTTTGTTTAGAGAATTCCATCACTGTAGTACTTCAGTACTCTTTGGCTGGTAGGTGCAGAGATATGTAAAAGAAAAGTATGTCTTTTTCTTTTTCTTTCCTACAGATTTTTTTAATTGCCTAGAATTTTCATTTATGGCGTATGACAATTGTGCATTATCCTTTGCCATTTTTTCAAGTGCCACAAACATCATTTGATTTAAATCAACTTTAAGCAGATTTCTTCTAGAAAAAACAAAGTTAGAGATCTGTAGAAAACCTGATTAGATTCCTTTCTCAAATGATTGTTGAAGTTTGTGCTAGGAATGGGAATGCAGAGCAGAATGGGCACTCCTAGAGTCTTCTCCACGTGCTCAGAGGCCTTTGAAAGGATTTCCTGCCTGGGCAGGTAGATGCCCCTTCTCTGTACATGCAAAAGTGTGCTCTGTGCCTGGATATTCATCATGTAGTTTTGTAGTTCATTTATTCAGTGTTGATTGCATGCTAGGCACAAAGTTGTCTTACATATATTATCACATCTCATTTAATCCTCACAACCACCCCATGAAAGAGTTATGGCATAGGCTTTTAATATTTCCACTCTTCGATAAGGAGGCTGAAACATAGGTAGATCAATAATGTGGCGGTTACACAGCTAGTCTCTGATAACAGAAGGATTCACCAGATCTGTCTTCCTTTTTCAAATATAACGCCTTGCCTGAGAATGAGGTATCAGACGTTTTAGGAGATGAGGTTGGGGAAATGGCTTTGAATTTTACTCTAGTCAAGATTCCAAGCTTTGTATTCATTTATTTTGTAAGTAGCTATTCATCAGGTGCACCTAATACGTGCCAAACAATCTAGATACTGAGCATACATCCCTGTGAATTAGAACGCATAAATCTTTGCCTTTCAGCTACTTTACTTCTAGTGGTTGGACTTCTTGGGCTGAGAAAGGGCATGATCTGGGGGACCAGCATCATGGCACAGTAGTTAGGCTGTTGCCTGGAATGCCAGTATCCATATTGGCTCTGGTTCTAGTCCTAGGTGCTCTGCTTCCAATCCAGCTCCCTGGTAATGTGCCTAAGAAAAACAGCAGAGGATGGCCCAAGTACTCAGACCTCTGCCACCCTCATGGGAGACCTGAATGGAATTCCTGGCTCCTAGCTTCAACTTGGCCCAGCCCCGGCCATTGCAGCCATTTGGGGAGTGAAACAGCAGATGGAAGATCTACCACTCCTCCCCCCATCTATGTCACTGTGCCTTTCAAATAAAATAAAAATAGAATCTTTTTTAACAAAAAAAAAAAAAAAAAAAAAAAGGAAAAGGGAGGAATCTGACTTAAGGATCTGACTTAAGCTTCACAAAGGTGCTTCTTGTTAGCGTGGAACATCCCCTGCAGAGAGAAGAGGATATAGCAAGACCAGTTCAGTTAAGAGGCAGCTGCACCAGTCCAGTCCAGGCAACAGAGAGTGGAGGCCTGGAAAAAAGTGATAACAACGTTGAGAACTTGGATTCTGCTTGGACTTACTCAGAAAAGCCAGTGGGATTTGCTGTGGCATTGGAGGTAGAAAGGACTTGTCAAAGCTGTAACTGGAACATGGGCCAGCCTGTGTCCCATACCTGTGCTCTTTCAGTGATGCTAAAGGGCTCCAGCATAATGTGATTCATGACTTATATTTAATGTAGTGAAAAACGTAGCTCCTGTTTGCAGCTCCCTGGTACCAGGGTTATGAAAGGAGAATGTCTGTCAGTGCCTAGAGTGGACAGCACGAGAGCTCCATGTCTTGGGGGTATTTGCCATTAAGGCCACAGTTCCCAGCAGGTACAGGTTATCCTTGAGATTTGTGGGGTGTCCATCTCAAATCCAGTCAAATCACTTTTCAGTCTTTCCCAAAGGCTCCTTAGTAAGGAGTGGGAAGATAGATCCTCTTCTGAAGATTTAAGTCCAGCTTCACCTTTCCTGCCTTTGATATTTCTCAGAAATGACATCATCCAATCTGAATAGAGCACATTTTTTTTACAATGGCTTCCCCCCCCATAACGTCCCTCCCACCCGCAACCCTCCCCTTTCCCACTCCCTCTCCCCTTCCATTCACATCAAGATTCATTTTCAATTCTCTTTGTATACAGAAGATCAGTTTAGCATACATTAAGTAAAGATTCCAACAGTTTGCTCCCACACAGAAACATAAAGTGAAAAATACTGTTTGAGTACTAGTTATAGCATTAAATCTCAATGTACAGCACACTAAAGACAGAGATCCTACATGAGGAGTAAGTGCACAGTGACTCCTGTTGTTGAATTAACAAATTGACACTCTTGTTTATGGCATCAGTAATCACCCTAGGCTCTTGTCATGAGCTGCCAAGGCTATGGAAGCCCCCTGAGTTCACTGACTCTGATCATATTTAGACAAGGCCATGGTCAAAGTGGAAGTTCTCTCCTCCCTTCAGAGAAAGGTACCTCCTTCTTTGATGACCCATTGAATAGAGCACATTTTAATTCTTGGTCACAAAGGGGCATTTTTACTGCACTGTCTTACCAGATATTTTATATTCAGAAAGCATAGCTTCCTTATACTTAACTTTTACTCAACAATGATAATAAAATAATTATTTTAAGAATAATTCTAGATCTTCCAGATTTGCCATTAACTTCAATAACTCAAGACACAGATGCTCCTCTGCTGCCGATAGGGATTACATCCTGATAAACCCACTCTTAACTGAACATATCATGAGTCAAAAATGCCTGTAATACACCTAACGTACAGCACACCCTGCTTAGCAACACAGTACCCTGCAGGGAGTCATTGTGTCCTCCTGTGGCTGGAGGCTGAGTAGGAGCTGTGGCACTACAAACTGCTAACCTAGGAAATGATTCAAATTCAAATCTCGGGTATACTTTCTACTGAATGTGTTTGACTTTCATACCATCCTAAAGTTTTAAAAAATGTAAATTGAACCATAATAATTTAGTGACTGTCTATACAAATTTGTTTATCACAAGTCAATGAAATTGCCACCAAGCTGTTTGTGCAATAATAAGGTGAATAAATGTCATCCCCATCCAATTAATTTTCATTGACCTTACACAAATGACCTTATATTTCCAAGTAGAAGCTGACTTAGGTAAGCATAAATGTTTCATCTGTTTTTCAGTTATTACTTTCCTGAGGATAGCATGGACAGATAGCTATACTTGTGGACTCGGACTATTTATTTTAAAGTACAGTTAAATGATTTGGTTTCAGTTAAGATCATTGGAAGGTCCCATGGTCTGCTTAGGGTTCTCCTAACTGTATCTTCTGGATACAATTCTTTTTTTTTTTTTTTTTTTTTTTTTACAGGCAGAGTGGACAGTGAGAGAGAGAGACAGAGAGAAAGCTCTTCCTTTTTGCTTTTTGCTTTTTGGTTCACCCTCCAATGGCGCACTGCGCTGATCCGAAGGCAGGAGCCAGGTGCTTCTCCTGGTCTCCCATGGGGTGCAGGGCCCAAGCACTTGGGCCATCCTCCACTGCACTCCCTGGCCACAGCAGAGAGCTGGCCTGGAAGAGGGGTAACCGGGACAGAATCCGGCGCCCCAACAGGGACTAGAACCCAGTGTGTCGGCGCCGCAAGGCAGAGGATTAGCCTATTGAGCCGTAGCACCGGCTCTGGATACAATTCTAATATCTCACTGAACTTGACCATACATTGGGTCCTGCTGAGCAGAAATCTCAGTTAAGAATAGGATTTGATGCTGTCTCTTCATGGCCTGCAGATAGCATTTGTTACAACCTCTTTTACCACTAACCTGCCGTGGACATCAGCCCTGAAGTTGCTCCCCTGCTATGTCAGCTTTACTCTGAAGCAGGAAGAGATGAGAGACCCTGCTGTTTAAAAAAATCAAATCAACTGAAATATGCCTTCTTTTTTTTTTTTTACTACTTTTCCCAGGTCTGCGTCCAAAGAGGACTCTGCGCCTGGTGCTGTGGACCGCAGAGGAACAAGGTGGAATTGGTGCTTCCCAGTATTATCAGTTACACAAGGTAAAAACTCTGCCCTGGCTCACTGGGCATTTGCACTTGTCATATCAGCATAAAAAATTTCCCATTAATTATCCCAGTTGAGACTCTCAACAATACTTGGGGTTGGCTGACCCTGGCAAATACCCCTTACATAAAACTGCTTCCTCTGGCCCTGTAACCGTGACTACACTGGTAAACTGAGGATTCTGCAGTTTGGAGCTAAGGGCTTTCTCACTTCTAATTCTCTCTCTGTAGCCTTAGAAAATCCCAGCTGCCAAGCTCTCTCTTTCTTAGTCTTTCTAGTTTTGCTGTACCCATGTGTAACATGGAACTACTAATAGGTAAACATCGTGTCTCCCCACTAAGCCCACTTCCATTCCTCCATACCTCAGTGTCCCAGATCTCCCTAGAAGTCCTGAAATTTGAGAACCAAGTCATGAGGCCTTGCGTCGACCAAGATCATTGCTGTAACAGTGCTGAGAGTGGCAGCATCCAGGGGTCTCATACCTGGGAAAATAGAGAGAGAGCCTGGCTTGATACAGACTAGCATTAGGCAAGTGTGTAGCCTGAAGCAAAAAGGTGATTGTGGAGGATCATGTTCAGCAATACAAGACCATATCTAACATAGGGGACAGGGAGAATAATAGCACATACACACAAAAAGAACTTTTGAAAAAAGATTTATTTTTGTATGTATTTATTTATTTTAAAGGCAAAGTTCTAGAGAAAGGAAGAGACAGAGATCTTCTCTCTTCTGATTCACACCCTAGATGGTCACAAAAGCAAGGATAGGCCAGACTGAAGTCAAGAGCCAGGAGCTTCATCCGGCTCTCTCATGTGGGTGCAGGGGCCCAAGGATTAGGGCCATCTTCGGCTGCTTTCTCAGATACATTAACAGGGAGCTAGATTAGAAGTAGAGCAACCAGGAATCAAACCAGTACCGACATGAGATGCTGGCATGGGATTCCAGCATTGCAGGCATTAACCCACTGTGCCATAACACCAGCCCCAAGAGTAATCATTAATAGAGCAAAATGTACGAGATCAGAAATATTATGGACCAACTGAATTATAATATAAGATGTTAAATCTTCTGATCATGTAAAATATTGCTGGAAGACACCAGAAGCTTACCTAACCTGGCTTTGAAGAACAATCAGAATAAGCTTCTCAAGTGAAGAAGTGACACGCAATCTGATACCTGAAAACTGAGTAGAAATAAGCTAAAGAAAAGAGGCAGGAGGGAGGAGGTGAGTGTTACACCTTAGTAGAGGGAACTGTCTGTGCAACAGCTGGAGATGAGAGACAATACTGCATCCTAGTGCAACAGGAAAGAACTGAGGGTGACTACATGGAAGGCAAGATGCATGATGGCAGGGGCATAGACTATAGAGGGGTGAACAGGGGTCTGAACAGGGCATATCAATCTTGCTTTGAAGTTTGGGCTTCGCCCTCAGGGCAGAAAGAGTAACTGAATTATTTTTAAGGAAGAGTTTTGAATTCTATATATCTTGGACTTTATAAAAAAAAACCCTACAATATCTAAAAGAAGTATTCTAAAGCTCTTTCATTCACTGTAATATACTTTACTCCAAAGTCTGGTTGGATTTAAACTTCAGTGGCTCCAACTTGAAATTTTCTCACCATTGAAATTCCTAGATCTGAAAGAAGGTTGATTTCTCCATAAGGTTTTGACATTCATTGTAGCATATCAAATACATGGATGAAATCAGAAATGACTTGATTTTAAACTTCTAAAAGATTGGCAGAGATACACATACACAGTGACAGAACTGGTTCATCTTGCTGATATCCGTGTAGCCTTCATACAATTGTGCCTCCATGCAAATGGCGAGTCTACACTGCATACTCAGGGAGAGAAAGAACAAATCCCCAGAAAGGCGAAACACCAGCTTTTTGTTTTACAGTTGTTCCTTATCTCACCTGTAAAAAAAAAAAAAAAAAAAAAAAAAAAAAAAAAAAAAAAAAAAAAAAAAACTGCATGTTGTGCATGATACAGCCGATTTCAAAGGATTTGTTAAGCATTTTTATGATTAACATGTTGATAAAAGCATTGTCAAGACCCCAGTTATTTCTAGGGAAGTGAATTTAACTTAAAAGTAAATATTTAGGCCAGCGCCGCAGCTCAATAGGCTAATCCTCCACCTGTGGCACCAGCACCCCGGGTTCTAGTCTCAGTTGGGGTGCTTGATTCTGTCCCAATTGCCCCTCTTCCAGGCCAGCTCTCTGCTATGACCTGGGAAGGCAGTGGAGGATGGCCCAAGTCCTTAGGCCCTGCACCCACATGGGAGACCAGGAGAAGCACCTGTCTCCTGGCTTTGGATTAGCGTGGTGCGCCGGCTGCAGCAGCCATTGTCGGGTGAACCAACAGAAAAGGAAGACCTTTCTCTCTGTCTCTCTCTCACTGTCTACTCTGCCTGTCAAAAAAAAAAATAGATAAAAAAGTAAATATATAACAAGTCCCAAACTAGAGAAATATATGAGATTGTCTCTAGACTTTTCTGTAGCATTATTGAAAGCCAACAGACTAACAGAGTCCTGTTCATTCCAGTGGTAACAGAGAGAACCTTTGTTCTAAGTAAGGTAATGATAACTGCTGAAACAAATAAGCCTGCAAAATTTAATGGCTCAACACAATTAAAAATTGATTCTTTCCTCATTTAACACCCAATCTACAGTGTAGCTCTGCTCCACATAGTTATTTAGGGATCCAAGTTGACGGACTCTTCACCAACATGATTTTCACTATGGCCTGAACATCAACACCCAGCTGGCAGGTGGGAGGATAGGGGGAGCCTTTCATGGGACAGCTCTGGAAGTGGCTTACCTCATTTCCACTCACATTTCATTAGTAACAACTAGTCACATAGTTCAAGTTCATAAGAGGCTGGGAAATACAGTTCCTGGCTGTGCGGCCACTTCACAGCATCCGCTCTGCACCACACAAGGGGAGCACACATCTTTGGCAGAGGCAGCCCACTCTGAGGTCTCCATTTCACTTTGTTCTCACTTCCCAAATACTTCAAACAGCACAAGAGACCAACTGCCCTGCAGTCTTCATCTCCCATGGCGCTCAAAGTGAAATCAGCTCCATGAGCTGCCTGCAAGTGCACACAGCCAGCATGAGCAGGAGACATTTGCTGTCGTCAGTACACAGGAAGAAAAAAAGAAGCCAGTCCTTGACCATAAGGCCCTTACATTGTACTCAAAACTCACTTTAAACTCAAACAGAAGAAATCTAGTATAACAAGCAATATACAGAGAAATTCTAAATTATTTACTTACAGTGTTTTATTCTTCTGAAGGACTCAGTTATTGTCAGAGTGCTGAATGGAATAAAGGAGGCTAAAAAGGGAGAAGTGACTATGGCATGTTACTCATGAGGGAGGACTGAGGTCTGATGTTTTGCAAAGTAACTGGACTTGAAGGAGTGACCAGGAGGGGAGAGAAGGGACAGCCCCTCCCCTTCATATTGATTGTGACTGAGTCTTGAGGTTTGCCCTTGGCGTCAGAGTGGTGATACCAAACAAGAAAAGAAATTTTAGAGGGGAGAATCTATTTTGGTGACTGTAAAAATGAAAGGCTTGAAATTTTTAGATGATTCTTCCAGTGATTTCATGTTACAGTGATGGCTATAGTGATCTACATCAGGAATTAACAAATTTTGGCCTATAGACCAAATCCAGTCTGCAACTTGTTTATGCATAGACACAATCTAAGAATGTTTATATGTTGTTTGCTGGTTATGCAATAGAAATTCTGTGTAGACCACAAAGCTTAAAATATTAACTATCTGGCTCCTTATAGAAAATGTTTTCTGACCTCTGATCTATATTATAAAAATCATACTTTCACATTACATACAATAATCTCTTTATGATCTTGTAGGACATAGAAGATAAATTTTATTTTGAGCCATATAGTTTTCAAGTATAAGTATTTTTTCAGGAAGCATTTTGATTATACTAATAGAAACATGCATGAATAATTTTTTGCATTCTAATTTGATAGAATTTATAGTAAAGTTCACTAAACTTACATGGTGCATGCTATGGAGAAAACGGTATGTAGAAAATTGTTATTTCTTATTGTTGTTGCTCTAGAAGTATACTTTTTCACCCTCACAGAATTTTTCGACAATAAAATTTCTACAAAATTGATTTTAATGGACATAGTTAACTAAACTTTTGTGGGAATAAAATTAACATTAATATTCATTACCTATTTCTTCCTAAATACATCTTTGTTTATAATATACTTTTAGTAATATATGCAAAGAAAATATAAATTAACATGGTTTAAAATTATATGACAAAATTTGTCAAACTACCTTTCAAAATTGTATTCAGATGAATAGCTACCTTTACTTCATAATTATGCTTTCTTGTAAATACTAGCTCAATTATTATAACAACTGCTAGAATTTGCTAAACATACTAAACAATTACTAAGCAATTTTCTGAATTATAGTGAAATATGTGAAGTTATTTGTGGCTGTGTACACATTTTGAAGCTTATATGCAACTGTATAATAATGTCTAAAACACATTCTCCAAGAAAACAAACTTTTTCTCAGAGATCGATAAGTATTTTGGTGGCAGTTACTAGATAAAATAATTGAAAAAAGAAATGGGCTTTTCACTATATTTTGGACTAATTACAACAAAAATCATCCTTGAAGTCCATCCACCAAGCCCATTATTGCTCATGGCAGAAAAATCTCATAAATGATTTATATATGTATTTTTCTTTTATTAAAAAAGAGCTAAGTTTCATTTTTGATAAAAGATAAAATTTTCTCTCCTGGTTTTAAGGTCTCTCTCTCTCTCTCTCTCACTGTCCACGTTAGAACATGACTTGAGGATTAGCTATATGGACATTGCTTTTGCTTTATGCTTATTGATTTTTCAGATATAGTAAATTATTTTTCATGCTACTTTTGATATTTAATTGGCATTCTTTAAATGCAGAGATTTTAAATATACTTCTAAATGTATATGTGGAAAATGAATATGGGAAATTATCACACAGATGAAAACACAAAGCATTCCCATTATCCTAGAAAATTTCCTTATACCTCCTGTAATCAAACTGACTCCACCAGGAGAACTATGTTTTTATTATTATTATTATTATCACATCTCTTGTTCTTGAAATTCATATAAATGGAATCGTACAGTATATAATCTTGAATCTGTCTTCCTTAACTGAACACGTGGCTTTATAATCTCTTATTTTTTTAATTTATATAAAGTAAACAAATTTCAGATATTTCATATATACAGATTTAAACGCATAATGTTACTTCCCACCCTACCCTCCAGCCTGCCTAAACTCCTAGCCCCTCCATTTTTATCTGTTCTTTTAACTTTTATGATGACATATTTTCAGTTTATTTTAGAATCATAAGTTTAACCCTCCACTAAAGAATTCAACAAGTAGTAAGTAGAAAATAACCACTGATCCTAAGAGTATAGACAAGGGCTTAAACAGTAATCAAATCTCAAAATGTCAATTTTGCTCATATACATGCATTTTTTGTACTCTGTATATTTGTTGCAGCAAACCAGGAAAACATATGATATTTGGGACTAGCTTATTTCACTAAGCATAATGATTTCCAGTTGCATCCACTTTTTTGTAAAAGACAGGATTTCATTCTTTTTATGGCTTAATAATAGTCCAGAGTATATATATACAATATTTTCTTTATCCAGTTCATGTGATGGACATCTGAGTTGATTCCTTATCTTAGCTATTGTGAATTGAGTTGCAATAAACATGGGGATAACTCTTTTATATGCTGATTTTATTTCCTTTGGGTAAATTCCCAGGAGTGGGATGGCCAAGTCATATGGAAAATGTATTTTTGATCTCTGAGAAATCTCCATGCTGTCATCCATAATAGTCATACCAGTAGTGGATTAGGATACCTTTTTCCAAACATCCTCACCAGCATTTACTGTTTTTTGATTTTTGGAGGTGAAACTCACTGTAGTTTTGATTTGCGTTTCCCTGGTGGCTAATTACCCTCAGCATTTGTTCATGTGTCTGCCAGCCATTTGAATTTCATCCTTTGAAAAATGCTTGTTCATGTCCTTTGCTCATTTCTTAACTGAATTGTTTGTTTTGTTGTGTTTTTGTTTCTGGAGCTCTTTCTAGAATGCATAGTTTGCAAATATTTTCTTCCATTCTGTCAGTTGCCTCCACACTTTGTTTACTGTTTCCTTTGCAGTGCAAAAGCTTCTTAGCTTGATGTAATCCTATTTGTCTATTTTTTGCCTTAATTGTGCTTCTGACATATTTTCCAAGAAGTCTTTGCCTATGCCAGTATCTTTCAGACTTTCTCCAATGCTTACCTCTAGCAATTTGAGGGTCGTAGATTTAGATTCTTGATCCACTGTGAGTTGATTTTTTGTAAGGTGTAAGGCATGCCAATGCCAATGTCTTGCAAACTTTCTCCAATGTTTTCCTGTAGCAATCTGAGAGTATCAGGTTATAGATTTAGGTTGTTGATCCACTGTGAGTTGATTTTTGTGTGAGGTTTAAGGTAAAGGTCTTGTTTCATACTTCTGTATGCAAAGATCCAATTATCGCAGCACCGTTTTGTAAGAAAACTGTCCTTTCTCCAGGGATTGATTTTAGCTCCTTTGTCAAAGATCAGTTGGTTGTAGATATGTGGATTATTTTCTGGGGATTCTATTCTGTTCCATTATTCTACATGTATAGCACAAGGCTGTTTTGTTTATAACTACTCTGTAGTAGTCTTGATATCTGGTATTGTGAGCTAGTACAACCATTATGGAAGACAGTAATAGCTTTAACTATTCGAGGTCTATTGTGTTTCCATATGATTTTTTGCATCATTTTTTTGAGATGTGAGAAGACTGTCATTGGTGTTTTGATTGGGATTGCATTGAATCTGTAAATTGCTTTGGGTAATATGAACATTTTGATAATACTTATTCTTCCAATCCACAAACATGAAAGATTTTTCCATTTTTAGTGTCTTTTTCTATTTCCTTTTAAATTTAAAATTAAGCATTCTTTATTAAAAATTTATAATACCATTTCACTATAGGCTTCAAGTTCCCAGGGATTTTTCATATTTGGTCTCTAAAGAAGACAGGTATACTTGACCCGGCTATCCACAGCAGTCCTTTTCCAAAATAACTGGCAAATCTTATTCACATGTACAATGTGAATTTAATTTTTTTTAATTTTCATTGTAGATATTTTTCATATTCTTGTTTAAATATATTGCATAATATTTAACATTTTTTGTAATGAATGGTGCTGATCTTACAAGTTCTTTCTCAGCCATGGGATTGTCAGTGTATATAAAGGCTATTGATATTTGTTTGTTGTTTTTATAGACTGCAACTATACCAAATTCTTTTATGAGTTCTGATAGTCTCTTAGTGGAGTCTTGTTTTCCCTAGGTATAGAATCACTTCATCTGCAAATAGGGATATTTTGACTTCTTCCTGTCCAATTTGTGTCCCGTTGATTTAATTTCCTGCCTAATGGCTGTGGCTAAAACTTCCATAACTATGTTGAATAACAATTTTGAGAGTGGGCATCCCTTGCCTGGTTTGGGATCTTAATGGAAATGCTTCCAACTTTTACTCATTCAATGAGATACTGGCTGTGGATTTGTCATATATTGCTTTGATTGTGTTGATGAATGTTTCTTCTATACACAATTTTCTTAAGGTTTTTATCATGAAAGGATGTTGTATTTTAACAAATGCTTTCTCTGCATCTATTGAGATAATCATATGGTTTTTATTCTTTAGTTTGTTAATGTGATGCCTCATATTATTGACTTGCATATGTAGAACCAACCTACATACCAATGATAAATCCCACTTGGTCCAAGTGAATGATCTTTCTGATGTGTTGTTGGATTTAATTAGCCACTATTTTATTAATAATTTTTGTATCTATGCTCATCAGGAATATTGGTCTATAGTTCCCTTTGTTGTATCTATGGTTTTGAAATTAAGGTGATGCTGGACTCATAGAAGGAGTTTGGGAAGATTTTCTTCCTTTCAATTGCTTTTAATAGTTTAAAAAGAATTGAAATTAGTTCTTCTTTAAAAGTTTGGTGTTATTTAGCAGTGAAGCCATCTGGTCCTGGTCTTTACTTTGTTGGCAGGACTTTGTTACTAATTCAGTCTCTGACTTAGTTATTGATCTATTTACATTTTCTGTCTTCATGATTCAATTATAGATTATATATTAAATCTGTCCATTTCTTCTGGATTATCTAATTTGTTGGCTTATAGCTATTTGTAGTAATTCTTAATGATTGTTTTTATTTCTGTAATACCTGTTGTAACATCTATTATTTCATCTCAGATTTTATTAATTTGTTTCTTCTTCT